TTAATTCATATTCAATGCTTGGGTTATGTTTCTCAGTGACTGGGTTATGTTGTTCAGTGACTGGGTTATGCTGTTGAGAGACTGGGTTATGCTGAACAGTGACTGGGTTATGTTCCTCAGTGACTGGGTTATGTTGAACAGTGACTGGGTTATGTTAAACTGTGATTTGGTTATGTTGTTCTGTGACTGGGTTATGTTGTTCTGTGACTGGGTTATGCTGTTCTGTGACTGGGTTATGTTGAAGAGTGACCGGGTAATGTTAAACAGTGACTGGGTTATGTTGTTCAGTGACTGCGTTATGTTCCTCAGTGACTGGGTTATGTTAAACGGTGACTGGGTTATGTTAAACAGTGACTGGGTTATGTTGAACTGTGACTGGGTTAGGTTTCCCAATGATGGGTTTTGTTGTACAGTAACTGGGTTATGTTTCTTAGTGACTGGGTTATGTTCCTCTGTGACTGGGTTATGTTGCGCAGAGACTGGATTATGTTGCTTGGAGACTGAATTATGTTGTTCAGTGACTGGGTTATATATCTCTGTGACTAGGTTTTGTTGTTGAGTGACTGGATTATGTTTCTCTGTGACTGGGTAATGTTGTTCAAAAACTACGTTATGTTTCTCAGTGACTGGGTTATGTTAAACAGTGACTGGGTTATGTTAAACAGTGACTGGGTTATGTTGTTCAGTGAGTGGGTTATGATGTACAGTGACTGGGTATGTTAAGTAGTGACTGGGTTATGTTAAACAGTGACTGGGTTATGTTGTATAGTGACTGGGTTATGTTCCTCAGTGACTGGGTTATGATAGACAGTGAGTGGGTTATGTTAAACAGTGACTGGGTTATGTTGTTCAGTGACTGGGTTATGTTGAACAGTGACTGGGTTATGTTGTGTAGTGACTGGGTTATGTTCCTCAGTGACTGGGTTATGATAAACAGTGACTGGGTTATGTTAAACAGTGACTGGGTTATGTTGTTCAGTGACTGGGTTATGTTAAACAGTGACATGGTTATGTTGTTCAGGGACTGGGTTATGATGTACAGTGACTGGGTATGTGAAGTAGTGACTGGGTTATGTTGAACAGTGACTGGGTTATGTTGTTTAGTGACTGGGTTATGTTCCTCAGTGACTGGGTTATGTTCCTCAGTGACTGGGTTATGTTGTTCAGTGACTGGGTTATGTTGTTCAGTGACTGGATTATGTTCCTCAGTGACTGGGTTATGTTGTTCAGTGACTTGGTTATGTTGAACAGTGACTCTGTTATGTTAAACAGTGACTGGGTAATGTTGTTCAGTGACTGCATTATGTTCCTCAGTGACTGGGTTATTCTAAACGGTGACTGGGGTATGTTAAACAGTGACTGGGTTATGTTCCTCAGTGACTGGGTTATGTTCCTCAGTGACTGGGTTATGTTGTATAGTGACTGGGTTATGTTAAACAGTGACTGGGTTATGTTGTTCAGTGACTGGGTTATGTTCCTCAGTGACTGGTTTATGTTGAACAGTGACTGGGTTTTGTTGTTCATTCATTGGGTATGTTGAACTGTGACTGGGTTATGTTGAACTGTAACTGGGTTAGGTTTCCCAATGATGGGTTTTGTTGTACAGTAACTGGGTTATGTTTCTTAGTGACTGGGTTATGTTCCTCTGTGACTGGGTTTTGTTGCGCAGAGACTGGTTTATGTTGCTTGGAGACTAAATTATGTTGTTCAGTGACTGGGTTATATATCTCTGTGTCTAGGTTTTGTTGTTGAGTGACTGGATTATGTTTCTCTGTGACTGGGTAATGTTGTTCAAAAACTACGTTATGTTTCTCAGTGACTGGGTTATGTTAAACAGTGACTGGGTTATGTTAAACTGTGACTGGTTTATGTTGTTCAGTGACTGGGTTATGTTCCTCAGTGACTGGGTTATATTAAACAGTGACTGGGTTTTGTTGTTTAGTGAATGGGTTATGTTAAGCAGTGACTGGGTTATGTTAAACAGTGACTGGGTTATGTTGTTCAGTGACTGGGTTATGTTAAACAGTGACATGGTTATGTTGTTCAGGGACTGGGTTATGATGTACAGTGACTGGGTATGTGAAGTAGTGACTGGGTTATGTTGAACAGTGACTGGGTTATGTTGTTTAGTGACTGGGTTATGTTCCTCAGTGACTGGGTTATGTTCCTCAGTGACTGGGTTATGTTGTTCAGTGACTGGGTTATGTTGTTCAGTGACTGGATTATGTTCCTCAGTGACTGGGTTATGTTGTTCAGTGACTTGGTTATGTTGAACAGTGACTCTGTTATGTTAAACAGTGACTGGGTAATGTTGTTCAGTGACTGCATTATGTTCCTCAGTGACTGGGTTATTCTAAACGGTGACTGGGGTATGTTAAACAGTGACTGGGTTATGTTCCTCAGTGACTGGGTTATGTTCCTCAGTGACTGGGTTATGTTGTATAGTGACTGGGTTATGTTAAACAGTGACTGGGTTATGTTGTTCAGTGACTGGGTTATGTTCCTCAGTGACTGGTTTATGTTGAACAGTGACTGGGTTTTGTTGTTCATTCATTGGGTATGTTGAACTGTGACTGGGTTATGTTGAACTGTAACTGGGTTAGGTTTCCCAATGATGGGTTTTGTTGTACAGTAACTGGGTTATGTTTCTTAGTGACTGGGTTATGTTCCTCTGTGACTGGGTTTTGTTGCGCAGAGACTGGTTTATGTTGCTTGGAGACTAAATTATGTTGTTCAGTGACTGGGTTATATATCTCTGTGTCTAGGTTTTGTTGTTGAGTGACTGGATTATGTTTCTCTGTGACTGGGTAATGTTGTTCAAAAACTACGTTATGTTTCTCAGTGACTGGGTTATGTTAAACAGTGACTGGGTTATGTTAAACTGTGACTGGTTTATGTTGTTCAGTGACTGGGTTATGTTCCTCAGTGACTGGGTTATATTAAACAGTGACTGGGTTTTGTTGTTTAGTGAATGGGTTATGTTAAGCAGTGACTGGGTTATGTTAAACAGTGACTGGGTTATGTTGTTCAGTGACTGGGTTATGTTGTATAGTGACTGGGTCATGTTCCTCAGTGACTGGGTTATGTTAAACAGTGACTGGGTATGTTGTTCAGTGACTGGGTTATGTTGTTCAGTGACTGGGTTATGTTGAACAGTGACTGGGTTATGTTGTTCAGTGACTGGGTTATGTTGAACAGTGACTGGGTTATGTTATACAGTGACTGGGTTATGTTAAACAATGACTGGGTTATGTTAAACAGTGACTGGGTTATGTTCCTCAGTGACTGGGTTATGTTCCTCAGTGACTGGGTTATGTTGTTCAGTGACTGGGTATGTTGAACAGTGACTCTGTTATGTTAAACAGTGACTGGGTTATGTTGTTCAGTGACTGCATTATGTTCCTCAGTGACTGGGTTATGTTGAACAGTGACTGGGTTATGTTGTTTAGTGACTGGGTTATGTTCCTCAGTGACTGGGTTATGTTCCTCAGTGACTTAGTTATGTTCCTCAGTGACTGGGTTATGTTGAACAGTGACTGGGTTATGTTAAACAGTGACTGGGTTATGTTGTTCAGTGACTGGGTTATGTTCCTCAGTGACAGGGTTATGTTGTATAGTGACTGGGTTATGTTCCTCAGTGACTGGGTTATGTTGAACAGTGACTGGGTTATGTTAAACAGTGACTGGGTTATGTTTCTCTCTGGGTTATGTTGTTGAGAGACAGGGTTATGTTGCTCGGTGACTGGGTAATGATTTTCAGTGACTGGTTTATGTTATTCAGGGACTGGGATTTGGTTCTCAGTAACTGGGTTATATTTTTCAGTGACTGGGTTATGCTATTGAGAGACTGGGTTATGTTGAACTGTGACTGGGTTAGGTTTCCCAGTGTATGTGTGTTCATTATCTCACAGTTGAACAGTGAATTGGTTATGTTATTGATTGAGTATAATATGTTGAACAGTGACTAGGTTAGGTTTTCCAGTGACTGAGTCAAGTTTCACAGTGACTAGGTTATGTTGTTCAAAGACTAGATTATGTTGGTTTGTAACTGGGAAATTTTTTTCTGTGACCTAATGGGTCATATTTAAGAATGATCACTTCTTGTAAAACTGCAGGTCAACAAGTTAGGGATTATTGTTTTTTCACTGTACGTGATTGTCTTTATGGGCGGGATTCCTTTTACCCTTGGAAGATTACCGTAAAAAATAATTATTGAGAAATTCAAGTCTTTTCTGCTGTGTATACACACATACTAACTATAGGTCACTAGTTCTACCAGTGGCTAACAGGCCATGAAAACGCAATCTATTAATTTATCATGTTATACACTGTAACTATTTAATACCCTAACCTTCGTGAAAATCGTTCATTCGCCTGAATGTCCTAATATTAAGACTCCGATTATGGCTATTGATCGTATTATTTACCACACACCATAGTGTTTACAAAACTATATTGCATCGGGATCGAATATGCGTTATATTACAAAAAACCATACCGGAAATAATTTTCCCGGAAACCGTGACTGGGTTATGTTATAGACTCTACCGTCAAATAAGGGTTTTTTAGTTGTGTATGAATAAAATTTGGTACTGAAAGAAGTTGGAACCTCCCCCCCCCCCCCAACCCCGAAATATTTTCAATTTTCATTTTTACTTTTTTTTTTGGCTTGACAAGTTTTTTTTCAGGTAAGTTGATTTTTTTTTCTCTGGCTGCCCCCCCCCCCACTTTTAAAAACGATGCTACGTCACTGCATATAACAAACATACTATGTAGAAAACTGAAATTCATTCTCTCTCTCTCTCTCTCTCTCTCAATTCAAATCGGAAATAAAAAATACACATATGAAGGTTTTAACCTTTAGATATATAGACGCTTTACAAGTTTCTGAATGACTATGATTATTCCTACAGTAATATCCAATCAGAGTAGGTTTAACATGGAAATTACACGTAAACAAATCGCACATCTGAAGAGACTTTTTATTGGGCAATTCCACAGGTTGCAAGGTTCACCAACATGGACGTGAGTAGGAGGAAAACCTCCAAGTTGAAATAAACCAGAATGTATATCGTGTTTCTTGAAGGGATAATTTAGTAAAAGGTAGAAATATTTCTTTATAATTTTTTATGTGTAACAATCATTTCGCACAGTCTAAAAGACAAGGAAAGAAGTTGACCTGCGAGTGTCACGTTACTGAATTTACTTGTTAACATATTGAAATCAATGTAAAATTTAACAACATACTGCGAAAATACTGATAGGTTTTATGGTTTTGAAGATATGAATTAAACTCTGGTTAAATTTCTACGGCTACAGAAGATAATGCACTGGACACGGGCACAGTACACATTAAATAGGTTTATACAGAATATTGCAGAAATCAATATCTCAAATCTGCTGTGAAATTTATAAAAAAAAAAAAAAATATGTGTGATTTAAAATTATTTGTTAAACTGTACTTAAGTTTGTGTATCTGCAATGAAGAGCCTACTGCCTGCAGACGACATATATACATGTACTGATCACAAAGTTAGCCAAGAAATCAATAAACATCAGGGCCAATAGCACATGTGAGAATATTCAGAAGTAGAAACTCAGTAGATCACAGTGAGAGTGTTGATTAATGACCATTAAGCATCCACACAAAGAAATCCATTATTGAACTTAATTCAGAACTTGTAAAGTAGAATTAGACAGTTTTTCTTTTTCCTATTACTATTTTATTCACTGCAGAACTTTGAGTAGTGTTCTCATTTAAAAAACAAACATACAAACAAACACAGCAGGTTCATTACAGGTACTGGCTGCTATCCTTGACTATCCTGCAGATTAATGGATTACAGGAATTGTTGTATATATATGTGACTTTCAAAAAAAATGTCAAAGTGGAGCTATGATTAAATTTTCTCTTGTTTGAATGATGTATTCTAGCTGACCAATATTTTTCAGGGTCTTATGTGGGTGGGTATGTATTATCAGATACTGATAAATGTAGGTTTTAAATAAGATATGGACAATTTGGTAAAAAACAAAACAAAAAAAAGAATTTAAACATGATAGCACTGAAAAAGGATTCGGTAGGGGCAATTTTGATGGGTTGGTCAGAGCACTTCAAACATAATTTTTAGCTCACCTGACCTCAAATGAGCTTTTCTGATCACATGTTGTCCATCTGTCCAGCTTCTTCTTGTTTCAACTTCTTCTCAAGAACCACTGGGCCAATTTTAACCAAAGTTGGTTCAAAGCATCCTTCTTTTTTAACATCTTCTTCTCAAGAACCACTGGGCCAGAGAAGATGGAACTTATTTGGAAGCTTCCTGAGGTAGTGTAGATTATAAATTGTTCAAATCATGACCCCTGGAGGAAGGATGGGGCCAAAATACATATTACAAGGGGGAAAATCTGATGAAGTAAGGCAGGGCCAAAGTTACTCAGGTGAGCATTGTGGCCCGTGGACCTCTTCTGATAAGATTTTTTTTTTTAAAGTTGCAAACAGAGATCTGGGTTTTTTATATATATATATATATATATATATATATATATATATATATATATATATATATATATATATATATATATATACATATATATATATATATATGTATATATATATATATATATATATATATATATATATATATATATATATATATATATATATATATATATATACTTGTCTATAAGGAGTGGTAGAACAACCTCAGAAATATATAAGACTTACTGATATTTTAATGTCACCAATTATGATGTAAATCCTAAAATACAGTAACCTCATAATGAAGTCTCTTGACTAATCACATCCTCACAAGGTAACAGAAGTCATCCAGAGCTACCAACCTTTACAATTTTGGCGTAAGGCTTACAGTTTGAGCTTCTAAAATTCGCCTAACGATTTATCCTTACGATCTTCGTTCTCCTGTCAAACATTTGAAATATTGGTATATTCATAGCTGTCCACCTTCAGTTTTCACTAGTGTAATAGAAAAGTCATAATCCTTATAGTGCTTGTTTGTACAAGTCTTTCAAAATGTGCCAGTACCTGGTACTTTTACACAACTGAAATCATGAATGAACCAGCCAAAATAAATGTTAGAGAAAAATTTTATAACATATTTAATTAAAATGGCTTCCACAAAGTACCTCTTATTTTTGAAAAAGTATTGCCTGTTTCTAATCTTTTTGAAAGCCCTGTTTGTATTTTCATCGTCATTGAATGTCTATTTCTATGCTAACATGCGACCTTACTCATTTTAAAGTAATCAAAATGAAAATATTTAGCAGCCGGGGGCCTAAGGGCCTCTGAACTTCCTCCTTACAATTTTTCATTTGATGATGTTGGCAGCTCTGGTCATCTGAAATCAAGAATGACATATAGGCTACCGGTATATAAATCTTAAAAGTTTTACCATTTTCTGATTGTGTGATTTCAGATGCTGTCATTGGAGGAGGGGTGGAAGTGGCCGGCCCTAGCCCTGTTTCTATTTTTAGTTACGTTTGGGTCTGTTGGAATTTTAAGTTTGGGATACATTATATGTATAATGATGGGGTGAGTATTAGACTTTGTTCTCTATGTATACATACTTGCTGTATTATTTGTAGTCCGATTGGATGAATTCTAAATTAATTTACACTAGTCCCCTGTCTCTATTATTTGTTGTGCATATACATGTTTTCTTAGTATTGCATTCAGCTTTTTCCTAAGGAGGAGGAGTTTTTGAATCCTCATTATCATAATTATAGTGAGCAGTGCAAAGTGCAGCTTGCACTGTGAACTCTTAAAGCATTGTCTGGGCAAAGACAAAATTTGGACTGCTGCATTTTGATCCAACAGAATTTTCCCAGTAAAATTTTATGATAGTTTTCAGTGATGAAAGTGTTTAAATGATAAATAAAAAAATCTAATCAGTGTTTGCATGTTGACATTAAGAAATTATATTAGCTGCACTGGCTTTTAAACATGCAAAATACAAAAACTTTGTCATATAGTTTTTTCTTAAGTATCTGTTAAGTGTAGTATACATATCATGATACATGTATTGTGTTATGTAGTCATATTGTGCTGTACAAAGTGCCGAACTGTTCAATGTACATGATGTACTTTTTAAAAAAAAAAAGTGTTAATGAATACACATTATGTATAGCAGTAGGTATAAATTATTTATGTGGAGGGGTATTTTGTGACTTACTTTTATTGGTTATTGATAGAGTTACATGAATGAACTGCCAGTTCTACTGATCACATATATACACTATCCTCTAAGGTATGGCATGAATAAGTAACAAATAGCATACTATGAATTAATCAGCTGATGTCAGGATTGGTGTGTTTGTATAGAGTTAATGATAAGATAGATCCCATAAAAACTAATTGAATTATTGAGCCAAGAGATGTGGTAGATACTTCATGTAAAGATCTTCAGATACTTTTATTTGAATTAATTAATGAATGTATATGTTACAAGTGGTTTTTAAGTGTTTTCAAGTGTAATATGCAAGAGAACTGCATAAATTTCATCATTAAATGTAAATTAAATGATTTATAATTTCAAGGAATCAAAACCCAAAGAGCACAGACAGAGACGATGTCTAGCATAATTTGAAGAATAAATCTTTCACAGATTACATTTAACAGTATTGTAATATGAGCATGATGAGAAGTGCTATTGTAAAGGACAAGTGCACTTAAGCAATGCTTAATGGGCCCTTTTTCAGTGCCGTTTTACTTTAAAATATATTACCAAACCGTTCTCTTTTTGTAATAGTTAAACACAAGTGGATATTTCTAATTAAAATCATGTTAAAACATCACCTAAATCAGCATGGATTTGAAACAAATGAAGGTTTTTGAATGCCCATAGATACTTCAAATTGGGAAAAGTTGTACTGAACCTATTTTGAGTTTCGTATACTTAAATCAAGGGGAGGAGACATTTAAATCGACACTTGAACAATCTGATGGTGGATCATTGATGGGCGCGTTTGCCGAATGATACTTCTTGCACTATTTTACCTGAGAAAAAAAATCGAATGAAGTATAGATGTCTGTAACCATAGTGATCAAACTAAGAAATTTGCATGCTAAATTGCATTTGAAATAATATAATAAATATTCACATTAGTTCCTTTAAATTTTAAAATGAAAAAAGTGTATTTAGATTGCTTTCAATCATAGTTGCCAACTCACCCTATTTCGTCGGGTTACACCCGATTTTTCAACCCTTAACCCAATTATTTTTTATGACAAGGCGGGTCATGCTTTTCACCCGATTTTGTCGAACAACCCGAAAATCTCCCAATTTCCGGATTTGGTTCGTAAATTAGGTTGCACTTTAAACTTCCAGTTACAACCCAAGCTTGGATTTACGTAAACAATGCCCATGGCTATGTTCAGTAGGCATTCATGCAAGACAATGATACCAGTATTGAAACTTTCAATACCGGTACCATTGTCTTGCATGAATGTTAAAAATGTTTGACACTTTTATGTATGATGACATTTTAAAGACAACTCTATAAACTCCCGTGTTCCTAAAACCAAATACATACAAACTTCTCTATATGCAGCACGACTTCGACATAATGATACAAAACGTGGCTATCTTTTACAGTGAGCACCTTTGAAGAATGTTTACCTGAGTAGAACTCACATGACTACCGTTATTTTAAATAATTTATTCCACAGGTGGGTTCAACATAGGTCAAACAGGTAAATAGCTCTTGCTTGCATTAGGAAAAACATTGAACTTTTAATACATTTTTAATATTTTAAGTACAAGCCTAATCTTGTACAAATTTACTACTTTCACACAAGTTTTATAAATGTATAATGCGTTTTTTGTCATTCGCACAAGTTTGTACAACGTTAGGCTGACAGTAAACAAAAGGTTTGAAATGAATGACCTTCCACAATTTACTATAGAAAATCACGAATGTCGGCTGACCCCTGCCACATTGTATGGCTTTGCTCTTTGTATATTCATGAATTTCAGCGATAAAATTGGTTGAATCTTATGGTTTAGATATCAATTAATGATCTGAGATGAAAAATTATGCTTAATTTGATTCTTCATTTTTTTCACATTTTACCGGGGCCCATAAGTGCACTCGTTCTTTACATTGAATGATTCAAGCAGTGCAAGCAGAATACTGATACATTTCACTGTATCATAAACATGGTCAAAACAGAATATATGCAGGAAGAGATTCATTTGGTTGAAATGTTAACATAAGAACAGAAAAGCGTTTTTACAGATTACTTTCACAGAACATAATGAAAACAGTATGACATTAATATACATGTTACATCTCTCTACAAAGTGAATATAAAACAAGTAATATTTTTATTACATTTCATTTATTTTGGTAACATAATGAGAACAGTGTAGTCTAAATGGGTTAAATTTAATTTTATTTAATGTTAACATAAGAACAGTAAAGCATCGAATCTTTTACTGCATTGCTGTAAAGACAGGCAAGCATAATTTAAAGTATGATGCAAACTTCTCTATATCATACAATGACCAATAAATTCGCTTGTTGTGAATTTGTTGTCGGATGGGATAAAATTCACAAGAGAGTTTATTGGTCTCTGGAGACAACTATGAAGGGTTAGGAGGTGGATAAAATATACAGGTTGGTTATGGAATATCTTTCTAATTAGGGAATGAAAAGTGGTTGATTGATCAATGCTGGAAAGTGGCTAAATACATCCCCAAAGTGCGCAGAAAATCCTGCACCATAAATTGCACTTTATTTACATTACGGGATCTGTAGCATTATGGTCAAAGACTAAAATATAAAACCATAGTTCTGCAGCTATGACTGTGTAAAATCTGTTACAGTGGACTAGTTATGACCCTGTACTGTATAATCTGTTACAGTGGACTAGTTATGACCCTGTACTATGACTGTGTATAATCTGTTGCAGTTGACTAGTTATGACCCTGTACTATGACTGTGTAAAATCTGTTACAGTGGACTAGTTATGACCCTGTACTGTATAATCTGTTACAGTGGACTAGTTATGACCCTGTTCTGTATAATCTGTTACAGTGGACTAGTTATGACCCTGTACTATGACTGTGTATAATCTGTTACAGGGGACTAGTTATGACCCTGTACTGTATAATCTGTTACAGTGGACTAGTTATGACCCTGTACTGTATAATCTGTTACAGGGGACTAGTAATGACCCTGTACTTTGACTGTGTATAATCTGTTACAGGAGACTAGTAATGACCCTGTACTATGTACTGTTACAGTGGACTAGTTATGACCCTGTATTATGACTGTATATAATCTGTTACAGTAGACTAGTTATGACCCTGTACTGTATAATCTGTTACAGTGGACTAGTTATGACCCTGTACTATGACTGTGTAAAATCTGTTACAGTGGACTAGTTATGACCCTGTACTATGACTGTGTATAATCTGTTACTGTGGACTAGTTATGACCCTGTACTATGACTGTGTATAATCTGTTACAGGGGACTAGTAATGACCCTGTACTGTATAATCTGTTACAGGGGACTAGTTATGACCCTGTACTGTATAATCTGTTATAGGGGACTAGTTATGACCCTGTACTGTATGATCTGTTACAGGGGACTAGTAATGACCCTGTACTGTGTATAATCTGTTGCAGTGGACTAGTTATGACCCTGTACTGTATTATTTGTTACAGTGGACTAGTTATGACCCTGTACTGTATAATCTGTTACAGAGGACTAGTTATGACCCTGTACTATGACTGTGTATAATCTGTTACAGGGGACTAGTAATGACCCTGTACTGTATATTCTGTTACAGGGGACTAGTAATGACCCTGTACTGTATTATCTGTTACAGGGGACTCGTTATGACCCTGTACTGTATTATCTGTTACAGTGGACTAGTTATGACCCTGTACTATGACTGTGTATAATCTGTTACAGTGGACTAGTTATGACCCTGTACTATGTGTATAATCTGTTACAGTGGACTAGTTATGACCCTGTACTATATAATCTGTTACAGTGGACTAGTTATGACCCTGTATTATGACTGTATATAATCTGTTACAGTGGACTAGTTATGACCCTGTACTATGACTGTGTATAATCTGTTACAGAGGACTAGTTATGACCCTGTATTATGACTGTGTATAATCTGTTTTGTGGACTAGTTATGACCCTGTACTGTATAATCTGTTACAGTGGACTAGTTATGACCCTGTATTATGACTGTATATAATCTTTTACAGGGGACTAGTTATGACCCTGTGTTATGATTGTGTATAATCTGTTACAGTGGACTAGTTATGACCCTGTACTATGTGTATAATCTGTTACAGTGGACTAGTTATGACCTTGTATTATGACTGTGTATAATCTGTTACAGTGGACTAGTTATGACCCTGTACTATGACTGTATATAATCTGTTACAGTGGACTAGTTATGACCCTGTACTATGTGTATAATCTGTTACAGTGGACTAGTTATGACCCTGTACTATGTGTATAATCTGTTACAGTGGACTAGTTATGACCCTGTATTATGACTGTATATAATCTGTTACAGTGGACTAGTTATGACCCTGTACTATGGCTGTATATAATCTGTTACAGTGGACTAGTTATGACCCTGTATTATGACTGTATATAATCTGTTACAGTAGACTAGTTATGACCCTGTACTGTATAATCTGTTACAGTGGACTAGTTATGACCCTGTACTATGACTGTGTAAAATCTGTTACAGTGGACTAGTTATGACCCTGTACTATGACTGTGTATAATCTGTTACTGTGGACTAGTTATGACCTGTACTATGACTGTGTATAATCTGTTACAGTGGAGTAGTTATGACCCTGTACTATGACTGTATATAATCTGTTATAGTGGACTAGTTATGACCCTGTACTATGACTGTGTATAATCTGTTACAGTGGACTAGTTATGACCCTGTACTGTATAATCTGTTACAGTGGACTAGTTATGACCCTGTACTATGGCTGTATATAATCTGTTACAGTGGACTAGTTATGACCCTGTACTATGGCTGTATATAATCTGTTACAGTGGACTAGTTATGACCCTGTACTATGACTGTGTATAATCTGTTACAGTGGACTAGTTATGACCCTGTACTATGACTGTGTATAATCTGTTACAGTGGACTAGTTATGACCCTGTACTGTATTAGCTGTTACAGTGGACTAGTTATGACCCTGTACTGTATTATCTGTTACAGTGGACTAGTTATGACCCTGTACTTTGACTGTGTATAATCTGTTACAGGAGACTAGTAATGACCCTGTACTATGACTGTGTATAATCTGTTACAGGGGACTAGTAATGACCCTGTACTGTATAATCTGTTACAGTGGACTAGTTATGACCATGTACTGTATTATCTGTTACAGGGGACTTGTAATGACCCTGTACTGTATTATTTGTTACAGAGGACTAGTAATGACCCTGTACTGTATAATCTGTTACAGGGGACTAGTTATGACCCTGTACTGTATAATCTGTTACAGGGGACTAGTACATGTAATGACCCTGTTCTGTATTATTTGTTACAGAGGACTAGTTATGACCCTTTACTACGGCAGACAATTGTCACTATCCTCCCTAACTACAGAGTTACCAGACTTGACAAGGTCAAGACCAGGCATTCTTAATGTAAGTACAAGATACCTATATTCTCTTCTCCTCTGTGTTCTACTCGGCGTAATGTTTACATATGAATGATTTTTTTTAATGTAATTTTAGGAAAGATGCACACAGTAGATTTTTAGTTGAATCTTATTTAACTTTTAAAGAGTGGATTGCACTGTTGCATAAAGTTTTTGGAGATTTTGTGAATATTTCACTAGAACTAAGAAGTAGGATTAGTTATTGATGTTAACTATACATGTACATCAGATAGGGGAGTGATTTACATGTAAGAAGTGATATGTGCTGAGTGACCTCTATTTAAGATGATGCAATTCTATTTAGTGTTATGCACTTACTTTGAATGGTTGTTAGATAAATTTCTTTGTCAGGTTGTGAACAAAATGGAGTCATCTCCCAGAGGGAAGAACTTTGACCGGCGGATGACAGGAGCTAGTGTCATTGATGAAGCACTCCATGAGGTAGTGATAGAGAAAAGACTCACTTAATCTAGTGCTAGATCTCTCAATCATTTAAGTACAAATTATTCTTTGAATAGATAACTTTTGGAAATGGAGATTCCTCATAGTCCTTTGAAATAGAAGCACAACAGTTTGCCTCTTTTTGCATTATTTTTGTTTTGAATTAGTTTTGCTAAAGTGATCTGTAAGACATGTATGTATTTTGTAGGTTCTTACTTATGCTATAGACTTGTATGTATTTTGTAGGTTCTTACTTATGCTAAAGACTTGTATGTATTTTGTAGGTTCTTACTTATGCTATTAAAGATTATATCAAGTCCTGGTACAGGCAGGTGTCCGATCATGACGGCTTCGTTCTTGACATCAGACAGTGTGTTCAGAAACTTACCATTACTTTTGCTTCCAGGTAGGAATGGTACTTTATTGTGGGAGGGGGGGGGGGGTGACTTAAGGTAGCCATATTCACTCTTTCAAAAAAGTCTTGAGTTAATCATACTATATTTTATATTAACAATATTAATATTGAACTATTGACACTAAAGTCACAGGTCCTTTCATAATTCTTTCATGCTGTGGGGTGGGTTCTAGGTGTAAAAGGGAGCAAAAACTGGTGGCTGGCAACAGTATATTTTATTACAGGAGCTAAATCTGTTAGTGTGACAATATCTAAATATAGGTAACTTAAAATGCATGTTAATAAGAATAACATCTAAATATATCAGTGCTTTTTGATATCTGTAGAACAAAGGATGTAGATTGGATGCCATTTTTCTCTCAGAGACTTGTGGACGATTTTGCTTCTCATCTGAGATTGTACAGACGAGCTCGCGAGCAGGCATCTGTACCACAGACTGATGGTAAGATATAAACTGTATATATATCTCACAGTTATACAGACGAGATCAAGAGCAGACAACTGTACCACAGACTGATTGTAAGACATAAACTGTATACATATCTCAGAGTTGTACAGACGAGATCAAGTGCAGACAAGTGTACCACAGACTGATGGTAAGACATAAACTGTGTACATATCTCACAGTTATACAGACGAGATCAAGAGCAGACAAGTGTACCACAGACTGATGGTAAGATATAAACTGTGTACATATCTCACAGTTATACAGACGAGATCAAGTGCAGACAAGTGTACCTCAGACTGATGGTAAGACATAAACTGTATATATATCTCACAGTTATACAGATGAGATCAAGAGCAGACACGTGTACCTCAGACTGATGGTAAGACATAAACTGAATACATATCTCACAGTTATGCAGACGAGATCAAGAGCAGACAAGTGTACCTCAGACTGATGGTAAGACATAAACTGTATGTATATCTCACAGTTATACAGACGAGATCAAGAGCAGACAAGTGTACCTCAGACTGATGGTAAGACATAAACTGTATATATATCTCACAGTTATACAGATGAGATCAAGAGCAGACAAGTGTACATCAGACTGATGGTAAGACATAAACTGTATATATATCTCACAGTTATACAGATGAGATCAAGAGCAGGCCATTGTACCACAGACTGATGGTAAGACATAAACTGTATGCATATCTCACAGACGATTTCGTGAGCAGACAACTGTATCTCAGGCTGTTGGGAAGATAAAAACTGTACACATATCTCACCACTATACAGGTGAGATTGAGAGCAGGCAATTGTACCTAATAGACCAATGGTCAGACATATACAGAATACAGATCTCATAGTTACACAGATTAGTTGAAATAAATAGGTCACTGTACCCTAGACACTGCTGGTTATACATAGGCAATTGTATCTCACATTATATCATTGTAGTAATTGATAGTTCTATGTATATCATTCATAAAAATTCTCACTGAAATGAGATGTAAGGACAAAGAGATATTTTTGAATAAACCAATTTCATTCTACATGTATGTACATTTGAACTATACGAAGGTTGTTAGAAAAGTTCGCGTACAAGTTCTATAGTGAGCGCGCTATTTGAATGAAACCAGTAAAACTCTGCAGATAAAAACTATATGTATTTTCCAATAAATGTGCAAAGATTTGGTGTTTTCCGATGATCTTTAAAAAATATACAGGTATATAAGATAGATAAAGTATGCTTCACGGAGCATGTCACTTTTTCGCACATTTACATGTACATTACATAGAAATTTTTGCGAAATTAAAAATTGCAATGTTGTAGCGCATAAAGATTTGTGAATTTCACCTATGGCTACAATATTTATGAAACGTCATTTGGCGAAAATTTGAATTGAATTGGAGGGGATATGACTGTTTTATCGCTAATTATAGATGATTGATGCATAAAAACAAAGTCAAGAATGGCAACGTCATTTAATGTCTTGGAGCACAGAGCTATTAAAAAATTATGTCTGCAGACAAAAAAATGTCCAAAAAGAGACTGAAATGTTTTTGGATGCTGCTGGGGACTTCATACACGTATCAAGGACCAAAGTGTTAAAATGGTAGTGGCTTTGCAAGAAAGGAAGGATTGATATTTGATGATCAACTCCTGCGATACCCAAATACCCCACTTATTGCTTGGACGTTGCGCTTATGGATTTTGCATCATTTCCATACCTGATCGCTTAACTGCGTAGACATTGATTTTAAAATCTCACTAATATCCGATAAGCCACAAAAGACATTTTAGGAAAAAGTAACATGCCTTGCTATAAGTAATATGCAATTTTTAAATAGGAAAAAAAGACATGAAAAGTCTATAGAACTGAAAGAAATTTAGAACTATGAAAAAGCTTAACAGGTTTGGAATCAGGTTGTCCCGTCACTTAAGTGACCTAACATCAAGTTACTGCTCCATGAATCCTATGACCGCACAGTTAAAATCGTATTTTTTCAAAATTTTAATAAATTGACCTGATTTTTTACATACTAATACACATAAGATAAGAATTTAATCAGACATATGTCATTCTTCAAAGTACGCAATAAATTTTCCATAAATCATTGTGTCAGCTAACTTTTCTAACAACCCTCATATATCTCTAACACCAATATGATTTTTGAAATTCTGTACATTTTTTCCATATTATCAATTATTACAATCGTAGAGTCATGTACCTGATTAAAAGAGACATAAGAGTTTTACCAATATTCTAATGATAAGAAGACATTTGTGATACTTCAAACCAGGAAGTAAGTTATATGGATCAAATATTCTACTAATGTTTTTATTCTTTATTCAGACACTTATGAAGAGCAGGTAGTGTCAGCCTTCTTTGATTTAGAGCTGGCTATGGAGAAAGACAAGTGTAGAGATCTAGTGTGTTTAGATCCAGAAGCTGAGAAACGTAAGTCTAGGGAGAATTCTAATCTGAAAATATGTACTGGTAATTTGAATGCTTAAATAATTACAAAAAATGCATCACTGGAAATGAAAAAGCATTTTCTGATTTGACAACACTGAGATTTGTTAAGATGAATTTGGAGAAATCTGTGTTTTCTTTCACATCTCTCTCTCTCTCTCTCTCTCTCAGATTTAGTTGACTTTGTAATCTATTGTATTCTATAGTATTTTTATTGTATTTTATAGTTATTTTATTGTATTTTTTCAGAATACTTACAGAACCTCAGTGAAGTGCTTTTGTTCCTTCTTCTTCCACCTGATGACTTCCAGAATAAAACATTTAGATATATTCTAAGGGTAGGTACATGTATACTTAATTAATTCACAAGTATGGTATTGAAAAACTTTGGTTATTAGATTTGCTACATCATTTTCCGACCTGTGAGAGAGGCAGTAAACAGTTATCAAGAGTTCTGGCTCCGGCCATCTCTTCAACTGATTAATTTGTTGTTTTTTTTTTATGGGTGTGTTACTGGGTTTGTGTCTGAAACAGGAAAGCAAATATGTTGAACATATTCACATGTAATTTTATCATATTGCTATTAGGTTATTCATGACGTAGGATCCTTTTGGCTTTGATATGGAATTTAACACAAACACACACACTTTTCTCTTTTCTTATTCAGAAGATGTGAATTTCAGAATAAAGATAAGTAGTGTCATTGTATATATTGATATTAAAGTAAATCTCTTCTCTCTGGCAGGAGGTGCTGGTTAATGGTATATTTCTCCCCACCATAGAATTGCTGTCAGATCCTGATTATATAAACCAGCTGGTGGCATGGTTGGTGAGTATAAAATCACAGTCAAATGTGTATTTCACAATATTGTAGTATGAAATAAATGTTGTACACATATAGCTTATGTAAGTAAATAAGTACATGGTAAAAAAATCTTTTCAGTGCAAGGATGGTTCCTTTACAAACGAGACATTTCTGAATGTTATTAAAACATCTCATCTAATGGATGAACTTGAGGCAGTAAAAGAAATCACAGAACAGAACATTGCTAAGTGGCGCTCAAAAGACACAGGAGGGGCTGATGGTAGGACATCGATTTATCTGTAGTTATATGGAATAATTGCATACATGTACATTGTGGACTGAAAATCACAAGTTATAAGTGCAAATCTTCATCAGTTAATTCTTTAGCTCACCTGAGCTTTTCTGATCACCCATTGTCCGGTGTCTGGCTAGCTGTCCATCTGTCTAGCTGTCCAATCTTCTGTAAACTTTTCACATTTACATCTTCTTCTCAATAACTACTGGGCCAAATTAAATCAAAGTTGGCACAATGCATCCTTGGGTAAAGGGAATTCTAAATCTTCAAATGAAGGAGCAGGATCCTAGCCTTCCAAAGGAGATAATCAAGAAAAGGCAGAAATAGGGTGGGGTCATTAAAAAATCGTCAAGAACCACTGGACCATAAAGCTTCATGGCCCCTTGGGGTAGGGGTGAGGCTAAATTAGGGTATCAAAGTTTTAAATGGGAATGAATAGGATTTTTTTCTAAAATCTTCTCAAGAACCAGTGGACCAGAAAAGGTGAATTTATATGAAAGCTTCCAGATGTAATGTAAATTTAAGTTGCTCAAATCATGGATGCCAGGGGTACAGTGAGGCCATAATAGGGGATCGAATAAGAACAAGCTTTTAAAAATCTGTCTCTGAAGAACAACTGGACCAGAAAATCTGAAACTTATGTTAAAGCTTTCTGACATAGTGTAGGTTCTAAATTGTTAAGAACCATAGACATAATTGTGTGAGTATACAGGAAAAAATTTTCCTTTCAATAATGCAAGGCCGTGTTAGTACTAATCATATTGATATTGAAACATCTCTATGTAGTGTAGATTCAGTTAAGTCTGGGTTTATATAAAACTCAACAATGTTACAGTTACAAAGTTTATTATCTACAAAAACACATATTGGATCATGGGGACTGACAACTGACTTACAGTGCGTTAATTTAACTGATCTATCTCCAGGGCATTGGAGATAGGCAAAGTATACATGGTAACACATAAGAAGCAAACAAAGTAATAAGAGATGCACAACTGATAAAATATATACATGTAGTAAACAACATACACATAGAAAACAAATATTAACCCCCTGGAGAAAACTTGGGGGTTATTGGTTAAAATATGGAAAATTTTCAAGCATTTGTAATATTTGTACACCAAAACAGCCAAATACAACTGTAAGGAGTTGTAGCCCCAAGTTTCCAATGTAATTAGAAGAAAAAAAAATTATATAGAAAGGAAATATAACATATATACATATTTATATATAAATATATACACAACACAGACATATTATAACACACCTTGTGAAATTACAACAATAATGAAATTTTACTGCATGATAAAACCACATGATTGTAAGAAAAAAAAAATTAAACAGACAGGTGTACTTGTTGATTTCTACAAAACAGTAGAGGCTATTTGTTGTTGTGCATTTTGAATCACTTAAGAAGATGTGTGAATATAGGTAGTGTAGCAATTAGAAGACCATCTACCTAAAGTTTTAATTAAATGATCTTCAATGCGTGCTTCTTGAGCAGTTGTAGCCGCTCCAATTCTAAAGGAATGACCGTTACAGAGATCAGAGTTCAGGCCTAATCGAGATAAAATGTCTTTGAGTGTGTCAATGAAAATAGCTCTGGTTAAAATGGAACCCTCTTTAGTAACAAAGAAAGGCACAGGTTGTGTCTTGAAAACTTTTGATCTTAAATACAGATATTTTGAAACAGCATTCACTGGACAAACATCCGTTTGTGTCTTAAATAATTTAATCTGAACACCATTTCTGAATGGGTCTGTTTTAGATTTCTTTAAAGTAACTGTAATGAAAGAATCATGACAAATCACATCTTGGATAGAGACATAATCATCATAATGAGAATTACTGAGAACAGTGAATTCACCACAGCGCAAAAAACCAAAAAATGCAACTGTACAAGCTGCTTCAAACATGATGTAAACATATCAAAAATTCCAGATCTGAGTAATTGACAAATTTTTGTTAGAATTGACATGGTGATAGGAAGTCTACTACGTTTAGGAATGGCATACATGCTTTGTTTCTTCTTTACACCAGTTAAAATTGATTGCAAACAAAATGAATTTTGACCCGCAGAAATATGAAAGGGATTAAACCCTTTCAATCTTAAATAAAAGTATCTTATTCCACTTAAGTACAATTTTATAGTTGAATAAGCCAATTTAAGGTGTTCATCACAAAATACAACAAAGTAAATTAACAACTATTCTGAAATTGGTGGTAAGTCACTAACAGTATCATGCAGTCCTCTCAGCAAAGTGAATTTGATGTAACTGTCCAGACCAACTTTGTATTGGCTGCGTGTTCTCAAGGAAATGGAGTGATCCCAGAGATTTTCTACGACACTGTCCAAATCACTTCCGATAAAGGTGGACATGGTGTACGGAGACGATCTGCTTCTGGAGCCAAGTTCTTGAAACGATTCATCTGCAAACGAGATAAACTATCAGCAATATTGTTTTTCACACCAGGAACAAATGTACTGTATATAGCGAAATTATTATGAGCTGCACACATAGTCAATCGTCTCATTAATTTCATAATTACGGGTTCCTTTGAGCGACCTTTGGTGATAATATGCACAGTTGCTTGATTGTCACAATTAAAAACAATTCTTTTGCCACTCCATTGTTTACCCCATAAAATACTAGCAACCACTATGGGATACAATTCTAGAAAGGCCATTGATAATGTTTCATTAACAACATGAGGTAGGTCGACTGGCCATCTATCGCAGAACCAATGTCCTTCAAAGTAGCCTCCATATCCAATTGTAGAAGAGGCATCAGTAAATAACTGTATAGAGTCTGCCGTTACCTTACACGGATCATAAAAGATGGAAATACCATTCCAGCATGATAAGAATTCTAACCACATGTATAAATCTGCCTTACACTCTTTGTTCAAATGTATATGATGGTAACTTTCTTTGACCGAGGACATGAGTTTGTAGAGATAAGAGACAAATGACCGGCCGGGTAAGATTACTCTGGAGGCAAAGTTTAAATGTCCTAGTAGTTGTTCTAATTCCTTTTTTGTGCAGCTTTTCATTGATAGAATGTTTCTAATGCATGAGGCCAAAAATAAAATCAGCTTTGTTTGGCGTTGCCGGCCGACTCACATAAATCGGTGCAGTCCGAAGAATTTTTTCAACAGATACTGATCATAATTTTTATTTCGGTATATTCATCCGGATTTAGGTGTTTGTACATTTGCGCAATATATACAGAATGGGAAAGAATCACGTAAACGCTTGATTGATTAGTTTTCTTTTATAAGCGTCTATGTGATGTTGAATAAATGCGTATCACGAATCCAAGCATGTCTGTCGAAAGCGGTAAAATGTAAACTCAGTATAACAGAAGTTGATGACATGACTCTCTGTGGTAATGTGGTTTTAAAAGTAAACTGATGAATACGATATACCAGTTCGAAATAGAAATCTCACGGTACAATGTCCTGTCCGATTTGCTAGATGAATCTAGCTGCCATGCTTGGATTCGTGCACATAACGACTTTACACTAATTTAATGTCAGTGATTTTTAATACCTTGTATATTAAAGGTTTAAAATTAATAGGGTTTGAAAATCAATGACAAAACTGGGAATCAATTCGGACTGTGGTAGTTGTTAAACTTTCAGAAACCCATGATGTTCGGATACTAACAACATGTACCATTTCTGAAATTTAAATTAAAAAAAATATTTTCCCTACCTACCGACCCAAACGTATAAAGACTAAGTCGGCAACGCCAAACCAACAATATTTTAATTGTGGCCTGACGTAATTCTAACAATTTTATCAAGGGGTAACCTGGCTTGCATGTTGATGGTGTCAAGAATTATTCCCAAATATTCTAATTCACAAGTTGGTCCTACAGTTTTTTTGGGTGATAAGGGCAAATTAAGTCTGTGAAAAATTGTACACAATAAAGCCATAGTTCTTTCACCGCAACTTTCTAGCTTATCTACTGTAAAACAGTTAAAAAGTCCTCTAATAAGTGTAGGATATTTTCAATTCCATAATTATTCTTGGCAATCCAACAAATAGCTGACGAAAGATTGTCGAATAATTTGGGGCTTGATCTGCAACCAAATGGCAACCGCACATAGTGGTAATAGTTCTTTTTCCATTTGAAGCAGAAGAGGTGCCATTGATTAGGACTAATAGGAATTTGCTTAAAAGCGTCTGTCCTATCTGTTTTGCACATGAGACTACCTCTGCCTGATTTTTAAATTGCATCATCTATCTTCACGTATGACAAAGAACACTGTTCCTTGTTGATAAGATCATTCACACTTGGTTCTGAATTGTTATGTGGTGAGGACAAATCAAAGATCAAACGTTTTTTACCCGAATATTTGTGAGTTGCTATTCCTAATGGGCTGACTCTGTAGGAGTTAAAGGGAGGTAGCGAAAAGGGTCCTTTAACATATCCCTTGTCAAGTTCAGTTTTTAAAAGTTCATCAACTACAACTGGATTCTCTTGAGTAGACAAAGAATTTTTGCATTCAAAAGTTTGTAAATTGTTATCAGCAATTCACGAAACTTTTGTCTGGGTATTGAGAAAGTTCAAATCTAAGTTTGTCAAGATTTATGCTAGTCAATGGCTCAGTTAGTCATTTGGTATTTGGTTTAGATTTACTGCTAGTATCTTTTTGTTTAGGTTCATTCATCACTCTAGATGTTTGAGCACATAGAATTTTGGGATGTCCATTAGCCTTGCATGATGTACAAATGTGCGCATATCTACAATATGGTTTGCTGCAGCCTTTTGTGGAGTTGTAATTATTACAGATTTGTTCACCATCACCTGCCATGGATATCTTTCTGTTGCCGATACCCTTTTAGACCTGAATAAGGACAAGTGTTTTGTTTTCTTAAATTTCTATGTGGACACATACCTGAGGAGTGAATGTTAGAGCCACAAGCATCACACAATTTAACAGAGGACCCAGCACATATTAAGGTTCTCAATTCGAAATCTCCCTTAGCCCAGTCAATTTTTATGTTGTGCTGTAGAAGCATAGCTGCGCATTTACTCAAAAACATTTGATGATACTCATAGAATTTGTCAGGCCATACATTAGTCTCTATAATGTGTGAAAGATAACCATCTAGCTCATTAGACCTGTTAGGAAAGGCAGAACACATGATTTTTTTGTACTTTCCAAAGGCAACGATAAACTCATCTAAAGATAGACTGCGTGTAAGACGTTCATCGTTTTCTTTAATTTTCTTCTGCGAAGGAGTGGTATAATTTGGGATCAGGAGAATGTTTAAATTAACATCCTTACCTGCCAGAATATCGGCACGTATTTCTGGCGAAACCATATCCACGTCAGAAATGTCCCGGTGTTTGTTGTAGAAGTCATAGCAGTTTGAAGACTATACTTTGCTTCGTTAATTTTGTTCGATTGAGTTAAAGAGCTAATTGCTTGCTGACATAACTGCAAAGTACTGAGGATGACCGATTCTGACATCGCTGCTGTTGTAGGAAGTGTGGAGCTGGGCGGAAGTGGATTAGAAGCTAAAACTCTGGCGCTTGGCACTCCTGGTTCTGGATAAACCTCAACGCTCGCAGCACGCGTGCCCCCAATAATGGACCTAACTGTAGTAACAGGTGCAACAAATGGCAAAGAATTACGAACTGATTGAAAGTTATCGCAATTATCAACACCTTGAATACCATCGGTAAAGTTCACTGGCTGAATTTCGTGATCATCTGATTGTTGACCCTGTACAGACTGGACGTTATCTAAATAAATTCTTTTGAGTACACTGTGACTTAATAAATGCATATTAATGTTTATTCCAATCTCTGAAAGTTTTTTCTTCAATTCTGCGACTGTCCAATTATTAGGGTTGTGTTATTAGACATGGTTAAGTTTGTTTGTTTCCAAGTTCGACGAACCGTAGACATAACTTCCAGGTCAAACGTTAAAGTTCAGCAAATCACGAAACTAATGTTACTGAAACTGAAAAATCATGATCTTGCAGTAATTCCCTTTGTAAATGGAACGATGGTAGTTGATAGAAAGTTGAAAAAATTTCCGCAATGGCTACTGACACTAAGATGGTGAAACTGAAAACGAGGCTCAGTTATAAATAAACAACAGATAGGCCCTGATAGGGTGTATCTCTATGATAACACAGAATATCCATATTGACATAGTTTAACGACTGAAGATTATAATGACAGATTTACATGTATATAAACTAAGATTATAGCAATAATCTTAAATTATATTATAGCATCACAATTTTTCATGGGAATATAATGGAGAAAAGTTTTTTAACAATCTTCTGAAGAACAACAGGGCTTAAGTTACTCAGGTGAGTGTTGTGGCCCATGAGCCTCTTGTTTTGTTACTCAAATCACATGCAACATAAAATGTAGTGTTATAAATGAAAATAGAGTTTCACTGGAGAGGGTAAAACTGGAGTGCTTGGCTTAGTGGTATGGTGGACTGCAAACATGGAATTTCAGTTTGAATAACAGAAATTAACACACCAGTGAAGAAGAAAGTGAATAATTAACTAGAAAGTTAACTTGAACTGCGGCTGAGGAATGGGTTGGGATTAAAAATTCTCATTAGGTCACCACAACTTGGGATACAATCCCTGATTGTATTAAACATGATAAATATACTTTCATTTTTTTGTATATACTCTTTTTAAAAGAAGAACCTGGTACATGTACATCTGATTATGTAATTAATGGATCTTCTTAACTTCTTTTTTAACAGATGCTGAGATTAAGCAGAAGCTGAACAGTTTGATATTTGTTAAAAATATATGTGAAGGAAGGATAAGACGAATTCAGGAAGGAGGTATAGAGGATATAGAGGAAGTAAGTCCACAGGAAACACTCAGACATGTTTATTCTGTGATTGTTAAAGTCAAAGTTAATGAGATTATTCTATTTATCGTATTTGACATGAAAAAATTACTCACAGAATTTGAATGACAATATTTGTTGATACTCTGTAAGTCAGTATTCACTCCAATTTTCATTTTGCCTTCTTAATCTTCAATATAAAATAATTTAGTAAGAAGTAAGTAGAATTTGAGGTATCAGTAGCATAGGCATCAGAACCAGGGGGCTAAGCCACCCCTTTTTTTTTGCAAAGATGGACATATTATAAGCATTGAAAATTGGGGCTTAGTCCCCAAACATTTTTGTTGGTTTAGCCCCCCCCCCTCCCCCCCTTTCAATTTGCTTTCGACACCTATGAGTAGATATGTCATTACTATTGTATAATGATAAGAAATTTTATATTGTTATTTAGAAGTATTTTAGACATTTTAATTCTTTTTACATGAGTTATATTGTTAAAGGGAATGCCACTGTAACAATAACATGCAATGACTGCTGTTTTTATTTTGCAGCCTCCTGATATATGCAGAGCTAAAAATATATTTGTACTTAGCTTAGATGAAATAATTGAAAATAATATTGCATTAGCTGTATTCATAGGTAAGAATATGCCTTAGGACTTTTAATGCAAGTTCAGTACATCTCTGAAAAGTTTTAAAATATGATAATTTTCCTTAAATCTGCAAGTCTTGAAGTGTAAATAACAGTACAAACTTTACATTGTACACTGGATTTCTTTTCAGAATTTATGACAAATGTATGTGGACAGCAGTATCTATTTTTCTATTTGAATGTTGAGGTAAGTATGTAATGTAGATCATAAAGAAATGTTTAAGTTTTCGTTTAAGTATACGTTGATCTGCAGCTATGGATGACTCTAGATGTTTTATATTTACATGAAATGTACAGTTATTTGAATCTACAAGAATTTTTTAAAATTGGTTAAGAACATATTGGCTCACCTGAGCTGAAAGCTCATGTGAGCTTTTCTGATTTAAAAGTGTTCATCTGTCTATCTGGTGTGTGTTGTCTGTCAACTTTTCACATTTTTGACCTCTTCTCCAGAACCACTGGACTAATTTCAACCAAACTTGACACAAAGTCCCCCTTCCCTCCCAAGGGAAGTTTTAAAAGGTTTTATGTACATATAAAAAAAAATACTTTTTTCTCTAGACCTACCGTGGCATGATTTATCATATTAAGATGCAAGCATCCTCATATAGTCCAGATTTAAGTTTATTCGAATCTAGGCCTATATAAGCAGGTAGAATGGGCCACAGTATTGGGTAAAAAAAAATATAGGAGTAAAAAAAAAATCTTATATAAATCTTCTCAAGATAAGGAGGGCTGATGTGACTCTGGTAAGTGTTGTGGCCCATGAATTTCTTGATCTAATTGATATCCACTGGAGAGATGTATTACTTGACCATTTGTTCATCTGAGGGAAGACTTTTTTTTACTTTTATAAAGTGAAACTGTTGTGAGATGTTAAGCTTCCTTAATATACAATAAAATTTTTTGGTGGATCTCAAAAACAGCACTATGAATTTATTCATTTATTTCCAATATACAGGCACATTTAAGTATTTATGTGGATGTATGTACTGTAAGTATAATTTGTTTATTGGCAGGGATTCCGGACAGCTGCAGGACAGCAAGTAATGGCAGCTCACCAGAGGGCCATGAATGGAGTGTCCACGGAGGCCGACCTAGAATCTCTACGACGGGCAGCCATGATAATATATGACCAATATTTATCTGATAAGGTAGGCAGTATTTAAAGTAATTCTGTATAAAAGAAAGTAAAACAGAAATTTGAACACCACTTTTGTGGTAGTGATTACCGGTACAGTTAATCCCATTTGCCTGCAGTTGAACATATACCATATTTACTAATAATGTCGAAAAGTACTTGCACAGTGTAATTGTATAGTGGATAAGAACTTAGTTACTAGTTATACTTGAAAACATTCTGTTAATTATTTTATGTTTTGAATATTATGTTAACTTTTTTTCTTTTACTTATGTTTTTTTTTTTCAAATGTTGACAGTAAGATAAAAAATAGAGAATATAGCCTGCTTATGGTAATAGCACAACACTTTCAAACATGAACATGTTTCATTATATGCACTTTATTCTTTATTTTTACAGGGAACATCTAAAATCAAAATAGACAATGATATAACCAGGAGAACTCTACAAAAAATTAAAAATAAAAATATATCTGAGGACTTGTTTGATGAGGCTCAGTCGAAGGTGAGTGGTCTGAAATGAGACTCTTGTCTGTTAAGTTATAAAACAATCAAGTAGTATTCTCCCATGTTGTATTGACATACATGTAAATTAAGTCAAATTATCATTGGAAGAGTCTATCATGTCAGTTATACAGAACATTCACTAAAATTCCTTTCTCTGCCTCATTTTAGGAATAAAAACATTTAACAGATATTCCTGTACATGTATTGTTTCTTATCTATAGTCATTATTAATGATATGGGGGGAAAGTTGCACAGACTACACTTAAAAATTTATATTGATTTCAGCATTTAGTTATTGAATGATAGCTGAAGGAAAATGAGAAAAGGGGGAGTAACTCTTTAAACTCTACCGTTGTCTATCGTAGGTGTATCAGATCCTACACTCTGAGCAGTATTATGAAGCATTCCTTCAGAGCCATGTTTACCTTAAGATGTTACAGGAAATGGGATTGTCCAAACCAGACAAGCCAGATGATGGTGACACCAGCAGTCTGGATGAGGGTAGGTAACCAGTCAATAAGAACCAGTATCTTAGCTGACCCTATAGAGTCACTAGATTATTTTGTAATCACAGTCATCAAAAACAAAGTTAAGGGCAGGGGATTGTATTGAACATTACTCTGGTACAGTTTGTAATTTCCAGTGTCCCTAAAAATTTGGATCAAAATATGATAAAAAAGTTGATAGGATAACAGTCTAGTGGTCTTGGCCAAAACCTTTTGCCTTAGATGTTCAGTGATTATAACAACTGTCTTGTCATTTATATGCATCTTAATAACTTACCTGTCTTTTGTTCCAGTGCCCCAGATAATATGGTTTAAAGTATGTTAGTTAACTGCCTCTATGGCACATAGCATCATTGTCATGTCAATAGTATATCTTGTTTCTGCTTTTGCCCTCTTTTTAAAGCACTTAAAGATAAGCTTTCAAAGTTACGGCTTATTTACTAAAAATTTTGACAAGAACTATCATTCTACCTTTAAAGAATGATTGCATGTTGTAAAACACTTTTCTTCATATTAAAAGTAAATCTCTAATACCTAATCCACTGGTATTCTATCATGTCAATTAAAATGTTCAGTGTTTAGAAGTAAAGACAGCATTAGCAGAAATGAAGTGGGCATTGTTAGTACATGAGGAACATTGTGCATACAATAACTGGGTAAAGAACCATTCACATTAATATCATAAAAATGCCTACAGTTTGACAATTTTATGAAGAAGTTGCAGATGTTTTAGACTTTCGATAAGGACAATTTTATGAAGAAAGTGCACATTTTAGACTTTCAATAAGGACAATTGTATGAAGAAATTGCACATGTTTTAGACTGATATGGACAATTTACTTGAAGTTTTGTGATATTGGGAAAGTTGGGAGGGAAAAAAAATTGTAAATTTGGTTCATTAATATTTACACAGGAAATGATGGAACATGGATTTTTTTTTTAAACACCTCATCCAATGAAGTGTGTGTGTGTGTGTGTGTCGGGGGGGGGGGGGGGGGGGGGGGGGGTAAATCTTTAGGGATATTTAAATCTTATTCTCTCACTGGCAGGTTATTTTTTAGGACCAAACTTTCTGTTTTCAAGTAGACAATGCAAGTACCATGAGGTTTCTAACAAGAAACATGATTTTTTTTCTTTTATTTTAAATCCTTTTTTCCACAGTGATATTTAATTTTTATTCCTTTACTAATATACTGTACGTGTACATATATTGGCGTATTCGAAATTTAGCGCAATCACTGGATATGGAGTGGTTGGCGTAATCATGAATTAGCGTTATACATGTCCGTGCCATGCATTGTAGTTATAGATGATTTCTTAGCAGTGTTCATAAATTAGCGCATCTTTGTCTGTGCAAAAGCCGCTAAAATATGAAGCCCGCTTTTTAAAGTACACATACAGTATATATGTACAGCAAAATTTAAAATATTTTTCCTTGGTATTATAAATACAAACAGAACAATTGTTAGTCACTTTCAACAAACACCTGACCAGTATGTGAGTAGTGAATACTGCAGGTTCTAGTAGATACTGTAGACGATACTTGATATAACAGAGCAATACAATGTTACCTGTGTAAAACTGTGAATGACTATCTCAGTTGTGATGATAACCGCTGCTATTTGTACTGTAATTTTATAAATCCATGCTTTTTTGGATATTGAGTATTTAGTCAAGAAAATTTTAAAGATAAACATGTGCATGATTAGTTCAAAATTAGATATTTTTGTAATAAAAGAGGAAATCAGACCAGAGGTGATTGTTTAAACAAGAGAGCAGTGACATGT